AACACTTCCACATTGGTGACCCTGTCTGTCCATCTGATCCTCAGTAACTTTCTTAGACGCCTGTTCAAGAAAACCTGGTTCCTCTTTATGTCTTTATGCAAGTCTGTGATGCGTTCCAAGTCTCTTATCCATACAACAGGACCGACTTCAGATTTGAATTGAAAATCCTCAGCTTTGTTCGAAGTGAGATAGCTCTGGTCTTCCAAATCCTATCCAAAGATATGAAAGCAACCTATGCTTTTCCAATGCGGGACTTCATTTCAGCACCTGTTCCTCCCTCTCTGTCAATTATACTCCCAAGATAGCAGAAGGATTCAACGTCTTCTAGTGCCTTTCCTTCTATTGTGACCTCTTCCCTTCGTTGTGCATCTGCCCTTAGGACCATTGACTTTCCGGGGTGGACCCTCAATCGAACAGACTCCGATAGGCCGTTTAATACTGAAGTCTTTGTTTGCATCTGTTCCTGGGTATGCGACGGAAGTGCCAAGTCATCTGCAAAGTCCAGATCATCCAACTGTCCATGGGGTCCACTATATACCGTTTCTATGTCCTCTGGTGGTTTCCTTCATCAGCCAGTCGATTGCCAAGATAAAGAGGAAAGGGGATAGTAAACATCCCTGTTTCCCACCGGTCTTGATGTCAAAGCTGTCAGTGAGCTGACCATCATGTATAACCCTGCAACTTGTCCCTTTGTACATGCTCCTGATGAGGTTAACCAATTTCTGTGGGATTCCGGAGGATAATATTAGAACCATGTTATTTATACACCAACATCATGCTTTTACGTTATTGTAAGGTTGGCGGGATAATCAGGTTTGCCTACCTCTTTGAATCATAGAATTCTTATACAGTCGACCACCAAAGAATTGTCAGGGGAGTGAGAAAAAGATCTATTTATCCGAAGTTCAACTTAACCACCGGGATTACAAAATCAAGGTAGGAGTGTATATAATATATATATATATATATATATATTTTTGTATATTTTATATATTTTTTTTATATATATATATATATATATATATAAATATACATATACATATACATACATATATATACATATACATATATATACATATACATATATATATATATATATATATATATATATATATATATAAATATATATATACATATACATATATATATATATATATACATATACATATATATACATATACATATATATACATATACATATATATATATATATACATATACATATATATACATATACATATATATATATATATATATATATATATATATATATATATATATATATATATATATATATACAGAGCTGGTTGTAGCGGAGTACAAGTACTCCGGTACTTGTACTTACGTTACAATTTTCGGTACTTTTACTGTACTCCGGTACATTTTTGAAACCAGTACTTTTACTGTACTCCGATACTTTTTATAAAAGTACTTTTGAGTACTTTTAAAGTACATTTTCAGTACTTTTGAAGCTTAATGAAATGGAAAGTGCCGGCATTTCTGATCATAATTTACGGAACAAACACCCGGGCAGGCACAGCCGATCAACCAAGAGTTAAAAATTGAGATCAAAGAACGGCCCGTCGCGTCAAAGATCAGCCACTATCGTGAATGTGATCACAAGCGTTGTAAAACTCCATGAAACGGTACAGTGTTTGCTCCAGACGGGATCACACCAAGGTGTGAACTGACCGATGCGTTTCTTTTCCCCGAACACCGCACTCGCATCTGAGCTCACCACCTAAACTTACATCACTCACTGGGTGGGTAGGGCCTACACGTTCGCTTCAGGCGAGATCACATCAAACTGTGAACTCTTCCCTGATCATTGAAAGCAGTTTTTCTCTATTCCCGAATTTGCGAGACAGCCTTAATTTTAATTGGTGTGACCACAACGCAATGATGCGTAAAGACAAAGTAAAGGCGGTTGGGGGGGGGGGGGGGACTCAATCATAGATGGAAAGCTAAAATTGTAGGACAGGTGAAGGGGAGGGGCAACTGGATAAACGTAGATAAAGATCTCAAGACTCACGATAGGCTAATGAGTGTGTATATTATATGCCACTGTGGTTGGTCATCAAGGTTGACCACTATTTGCTCGCCATATGTCATAAATCCACCTAGGGGTCACGTCAGTTCATGGGTCATTGTAGATTCTTCCGTGGCTTCGTCGGCTGAGATCCCATATTTTTCTTGCTTCCGAGCACTGGGGTCTTAGGCGGAGACTACTGTAGTAGAGAATCTTTGGTTTTACTACACTTACTAAACTCTAGGAAACTATTGTATTTTGGTTTGCCTTGGGCGCTGTGGACCACACAGTGTTACCAAAATCTGTCTTACCACTATAATCAATTGAAACTGAAACTGTGTTCTCAATGTATGTAACAATTTTTGAGGCTACCTAAATTTCTTTTTAAAACTTTTTTTTTGGTGGTTTTTGCTTAAGGCTACTGTGATTCCTTGAGGATTTGTTAATGAAGAATTCAATGCACTTTTCCATAAACTTCTATGCTGGCCATTTTCATCAATTTTCTGTTTTCTTAAGAGCAACTTTGTATCTACATTTCAAATTTGGATACTTTTTCGGTAGAACTTTCCGACCTTTTGGACTGACTTAGATTTGATAACATTGTCTTGCTCAAACATTTTCTATTCATAATATCACTTACCCACTAGTTGTGTCAGTTTGTTTGGGGTTTTCTTTTTTCAATTTCACGGACCATTTCCACCTTCGTTCAGTGCGTACATAGTATATTCAAATGTTTTGTATACTGTTTACATTTTTAGTAATAAATAGCCTAATTTGTCAAGTTTACTGGATATGTTATTCAATCATAAGCGCTGAAGTGTTTTAGCATATTAGCAGAAAGTACTCATAAGTACTTTTTTAAAAAGTACTTGTACTCAAGTACATTTTACAGGAAAGTACTTTTACTGTACTTAAGTACATTTTTTAGATTGTACTTAAATTTGTACTTAAGTACTTTTTAAAAAGTACTTTAACAGCTCTGTATATATATATATGGGTATGTGAGTGACTGAGTGAGAGAGACAGAAAAATGGAAGCATAAACTGGCAGCAAAACTCTAACAAAACTAACATAACATGAGAAGATTATATATGGTATTCCGATGAGGCTCTGTTATTGCGATAACTTTTAATAGACAAAGAGTAGGAAAAAACGGGGATTTTAAACATCCTTGTTATTACCGGATCCCTGTTATTACCGGGCCTATTATATATATGGTTTCCACTCTATAACTTTTAAAGAGTAAAAGTACTTGCTGGGACTCAGGACTTCAGAAAGTGAACGTTGTATTTGAGAGGCATTTTCAGCTGAGAACATATGGAGGTTTTACTGTATTTCTTATTATCTAGCAGTGTTCCATGCCCTATAGCCTTGGGGGTAATGAGGGGAGGAGAAGTGGAAGTAACAACAGACAAGGTTATTGCATTGTGATGTCACACACACACTTCTCACTGTTTCAAGGAGAGATACTATGTTATGTAGGTCTAAGCGTAAGAAGGGAAGACCTAAGATGACATGGAGGCGAGTGGTATCAGCGGAAATTGAAAAAGCGGGGACATCATGGAAACAGATAGAAAAGGATGCTCAGGACAGGCTTCGCTGGAGTACTGTTGTTGATGGCCTGTGCTCCACTGGGAGTAAAAAAGGGCAAGAGAGAGATTGCGAGTTGATTTGCCCTACGTAATTAGAACCACCTTAAATTTGCACCCGTGGGAAAAAAGGCACTTCAACTCAAGCGTGTTTACATTTGAGTAAAACTCAACATATAACAGTTGGGACCGACCCGAGAAAAAGATAAACTTAACTGAAGATCAACTCAACACAAGTGGAGTCGACTGTATCTATGATTATCATTATTAGCCAAATTTTTGTCGTTCTCACTCCACATTCTTTGTTAGCCATTTACCTCCTGGAGATTTGTCACGACGCATACCCCAAAATATTATCAAAAGTCAGGAAAGCAAGCAACATCTCACTGCGCACCAAGATTTGACTTTTTAACTCCAACGTCAAGTCTGTGCTCCTCTACGGCTGCGAAACTTGGAAGACAACGAAGACAGTACTGAATATGGTCCAGACTTTCATCAACAGATGTATGAGGAGTATTTTAAGAATTAAGTGGCAGGAAAGAATAAGAAATGAAGAGCTGTGGGAAAGGACAGGACAAAGGATATAGAAGTAGAAATAGGACTAAGAAAGTGGCGATGGAGGGGACACACCTTAAGAAAGCCCAGCGGAAACATCACAAGACAGTCACTGCAGTGGAACCCACAAGGAGCACGAGGCAGGGGTAGGCCACGGGAAACATGGAGGAGATGCGTGGAAAGGGACATGAGAGAAATGAAGCTCACTTGGAACGAGCTTGGAAGGATGGCTCAGGACAGAGATAAATGGAAGGAGCTTTTATGTGGCCTATACCCTGCCAGGGGTGAAAGGCATTGATACCCCAAAATCCTTGGAAAGGGAGATAATCTTCAAAGAATATAATTCATAGATTATTAAATAATTCATTTTTATACAGATTTCTTTACAAAATGATCGGGGAAAATGGAGCTATATTAGTAAAAGAATATTGCTTCTAACCAGACAGTTTCCGTTGCAGTACACTATGGGCAAGTTATTTATTCCTCCCTTCCATTATAGTTGTGTATCGGGTTTTTCTTCGTTACACATTTCATCGAACTAAAAAATAACCAACTCCTCTTGCGATGTAAAAATACCCTATATAACAGTAGACCAAGAAATGAACTTTCGTGTCTTTGTTTGGCTGTTTGGTTGAGATCACTTCACGGGCTGATTTTGTAAGTTATTTTAAAACTTTCCCTGGATTTGCCCAAGTTTCAACTCCATCCCACCGGACAATTCATCATAATATTTACTTTTTAAATTCACACACGCACTAATTCTGGGCCAATTTAGACCATTCAAAAACTCCCTCAATAAAAGAACTCTATTTATGCTATATATAGCCTCTATTTCAGTCAATTCTTATCGGACAGTATTCCTAGACCTGAAAGAAACGTAATACCACAGCAGTGTCGCGGGTTCAGCAATTGAAACGCAGCGCAACACCATTCTTGGTGTGAATGGATAGACTCCGCGCAACGCTGCTCTAAGAGTTAAAAGGTTACATTAAAACGGTTGTGCAACAGTTTTAAAAAAATTCATGAGACATTTGGATTACAAGACAAGTCTGTACAATTGTACAAGGTGATATCCCTGTCATTAATATATTTATACATGAACTGAAAAATTTTGCACAATGAGTCAGGTGTCTCACAATTCAGTTTCCAATCTTTTGTTCTGCAACCACATGCCCTTCAACCAAATGCCCTCTCTATAAGAAACCATGTCATAAATCAAGACCTTTGAGACATGTAGAAAGACACACAAAATGATCATTGCGCAAGAAAGCTAAACACCAAAGATGGTAGCGAAAGTGTTTTTTCATCAGTTTATTCAAAAACATGTTGCAGTATGAGAAAAAAAACAACAACTAAAAAAACCCATTCTATATAATAACACAATAAAATCACATCCTTAAAGACAAGATTCGACTTCCTTCATCCATGGATAGGGACACAATGTCTGAGTAATAAAAAAAGAGGACATATTGAAAAGCATTTCTGTCTTTAAAGTCTAAAGAGGGATAGAATAACTTTTTGAGCCCCATTTAAAGATGCTTTCAGCAAAAGAAAAAAATTCTACGAACACAAAAGGCATAGGCTTACATATGGTCTTTTGTTGTAAAAAAGACTCCTAATACAAGGCAGCTTGAGAGAACCAGTGTATGCATGTTGTTGAACATGCATCTGTGAATGTGTGTGAGTGCGTGTGTTTGTACAATTGTGCGTACATTTTGTGTGTTTTCGACCAATCTAGGGAATAAAGCCCTAGAAAATGTGTAGAATGTGGAAGTGCTCAGGGCAGGTACACATTGGACTAGGGCACATTCAGAAGTTTTTGTCTGGAGATCCCTGATATTGGTCTAGACTTCTAACTACTAGAGGTAATTTGGAGGTGAGAGGGGAGGGGGGGGAGTGTTGGCAGACAGGGGTATTCAATATAAACAGCATCCTCAATCATCAGTAACTATGGCGTGGGGGAGGGGGAGGCAGGCAGAATGGCATTCAATAATACAAGCAGTGTGTTGCTTATTAGCCAGAGAACAGCTCCATCTCCACCAACCTTGAGGAATGGGTAGGTCTCTCTCTGCTAAGAAGCAAGAAACACCTTCCCTACTCATTCCACATCAATCAGTCATTTCTATCACTTTTTATTTTAAAAAATACCTGCACAACAACATTAGCGTCTAAGAATCCTTGGCATTTCCACAAATCATGAAGAACCACACACATATCATGCTCTAGCAATACACCATTCAACATTATTTAACATGTACTCGCTCAAGATGAAAGGATGATTCATGAAAAAACAAAATATAAATACAAGCCTGGATGGTGATGTGTATAATAACCTACTCAAAAGCGTGTTTAGCTGTCAAAAAAGTCGCCCCCCAAATCCAAATATCTGTCGCATTCGATCCCAGTAATTGACCTTCCAGCCGTCTCTCGTCTTGTCCAGTTCCAGGTCAGGGACGCCCGTCTGCTTCAGGGATAGCTGCGTGGAGCCGTCCTTATCTTTCAGCTCAATGGTCACCTCAGAGTAGTGCTCATCGGGCCAGGACTTGACCCGCCACTGCTGGACAATCTTCTGGTCTGGGACCTTGTTGAAAAAAAATAATGCAACCCAAAACATGACAATCTTCTGGTCGCAGACCTTGAAAAAGTAAAGAGAAACAAACCCCCCACTCACACCAAAAGAATACAAAACACAAAATACTACAAAACTTTACAATTTTCTGATCAGGGACCTTAAAAAATTATTTTTGAAACTCAAAAAACTATACCATTTTGTTGATCTTTTCATCAAGGTGCCACACAGCAACTAGTGAAAATACAATTGAAAAACACTCAGAAATAGTCATAGCATTTCTTAAATTAGGACCAAACTTTCAAACCACAAAGATAAACTCACTCTGGCAATAATCAAATTACAACCGTGATATTGATATATATTGCTTAAAGCTATGAGACAAAAAGAGTAACAGAAAAGAAGAAGCAGGCTACACTAGAATTAGACCTGCATGTGAGCCTCAACCAGATTGTCTGAAAATTTGACGCAACCCCCCCCCAAGAGATTTTGTCAATTTTGTGGGTGTCATAAGGAAGGACTTCCGAGTAACGAGCGACAACCCCAACAATCACAGTAAAGAAGAGACCTAACTCTAACCCTACCCCTAGGCCTACCCCAAAAAAGAACCTGCAACAGGCCTCATGTAAGAAGGCCAGCACAAGTCCAAAATTTTAAAAAAATATTAAAATTTACAACCACACTCCAAAACAAACAAGGAGCATAATATGGCATAGTATAATTATATGGCCTACATCTACATTGCTTTAATAGGGTTTGATACAATAACACTTGTACAATAGAATTGAAATATGAATCCTCCATATGGATCTAGAAATCTAAATATATCTAGATCTAGATCTAGATCTAGTAGAACAAGTGAATAGGAATAGGCCTTGAACTAGATCTAGAAATCCGCACCCGATTCCGAACAGAGGGACTCAGCCGAGTCTAGAATCTAAATAAATAAATAATTCACGCACCTGATGAAATGCTTTTTACCAACATTAATATTACAGCACAACCTATGATAGGGTTTGACACAATAGAAATGGAATATGAATCCTCCATTGAGGTCTATAATGATCTAGATCTATATAAATCTAGATCTAATTCTATTAGAACAAGTGAGTCGGACTTGAATGAATCCACATGACCTGAACAATTGAATTAGTCAACAAACGAAATTCAAAATGGCAGCTCGAGCACGAAACTGAAAGTAGATAATTTAGGTCGTCGTCCTTTTTCGTGTTCGAATTTCTACTCAGGTTCCGACAATTATGTTGGAAAAGCCGATGTCGGCAGTCGGCGCGAAAATGAAAGTGCCGACAAAGCCGACGGGAGAAAAAGGGGGCGCTGGCAGTCGGCCAGGCCTCGCACTACGCAAATTGTCATTGACTGATACAGGTGGGCCTAGCGATAGCATCGGCCGGCTCGCGATTGTCAGATTTCAGACGATTGTCGGCAAACATGCAGGTCTATAGAATGTCGCCTGTTCAACCTCCCGCCCAACTTACTGATACATAGCTGCCAACATTTTAAAACTACAACAACAAAAAAAGACACTACCCACGTAGCCACTCAAGATGTTGGGTACTGGCCCAGTAAGACCCCCTCCAAACCCTTCACACATTTTTTCTACATTCAATAAATTTGTGTTCAACAGATAAATAGGTCTATGGAAACGATCACAACTACAATTGACCTATCGGCTTTGTTTTCAATATAATCCCCAAATCCAATCTTGAAAGTTCATAATTTTTGTTCAGCATTGGCAACTCTGTGAGATGCAATAAAAGAAAACAAAAAATATGTATTTTCCAATAGGAAAACGAACTTCCATACTCGGACATACAAAAATGTAGTATCATTAGTATTAAAATTAAATTATATTTTTCGTACTGGTTGGCAGCTGTGCAAATATGACATAATGATGCTGATATGTACATTCACAATCACTTTTATTGAAACATAAACATTATCCAATGAAACTAAAAAAGAGTACACAGGTTGTTTTTTCTTAAACCAAAATTTCATATTTTGCAAGAGCTCTTTTGACAATATTGTTCATAAAGCACTACAGGGTTGGGTTGATTTAAATCAGGTTGATTTAAATCAGTTTATTTTTTTTATTTAAATCAACTTGATTTTTAAAATAAAAATCAGTGATTTAAATCATTTTTTTAAAATTTATTTTTATTCAGTTTTTACACATTTCAACATTCAGAATTTCTTTCCTTGGTTTCATAAAACAGATATAAGGTTTAGTAGACTAATATAATCATGCTTAAAAGTCTGCTTTCCCCCCCTTTCACTATAAAATAATACAGTATTCAATTAACTTTTTTTTTCCAAAATTGAAATCAGAGCTGTGTTGATTTAAATCAGTTGATTTTTTTTATTTTAATCAACTTGATTTTTAAAATAAAAATCAGTGATTTAAATCACTTTTCAAAAAAATGTATTCAGTTTTTACATATATTTAAACATTCAGAATTCCTTTCCTTGGTTTTATTAACCAGATATAAGGTTTCGTAGACTAATATAATCATGCTTAAAAGTCTGCTTTCCCCCCTGTCACTGTAAAATAATACAGTTCTCAATTTACTTTTTTTCATAATTGAAAACCAGGGTGGGGTTGATTTAAATCAGTTGATTTTTAAAAATTTAAATCAACTTGATTTTAACAATAAAACTCAGTGATTTAAATCACTTTTAAAAAATGTATTCTGTTTTTACATCTTAAAACATTCAGAATTCCTTTCCATGGTTTTATAAAATAGATTCAAGGTTTAGTAGACTAAAATAATCATGCTTAAAAGTCTGCTTTCCCCCCCCCCCCCCCCCCCCCCGTCACTGTAAGTAGTAAAATAATACTGTATTCAATTTACTTTTTTTTCATAATTGAAATTAGCATTTTCTTTTTCTTTTTAGACGAACACAAGCGCGCGCACACACACACACTGTAATAAAATGCATATTTATCTCATAATTACCCCCCCCCCCCCTTCCTTTTAGACTGACATTTTCTTCATTTTTTGTCTGTAGCCATAATTCACTGATATAGCAGATAAAGGCTTTCTAAAATTGCAGTTGCTTAAATTAATCATTAGTTAAAATAAAGACAATGCATTTTGCACTAAAAGAACTTACTTTTAGCCACCCAAAATCCCAAACTGTGTTGACATTTTTTTTAAAAATATAAAATATCCTATGCGATTTAAATTTTTTTAAATCTGACTTAATTTTTTTAAAATCGATTTTTTAATTTTTATTTTAAAAATATAAAAAATCACCAACCCTGAAGCACTATCATCTTTATTGCTAATCCAGTCATTGCTGAGCTCATATCATTCAGGCTGATGCCATGTCACACAGGACTAAGAACAGAAAATGCAGAGGTAGATATGAGATGAAAAAACTTCTAAAGGGCCGACAAATTTGTGACACACCAAACCAGAAATCATCACTTACCAAATCCACAAACTGGCCCACAATGTTTCCTCCAGCCAGAGAGAATCGCTCACCCTTGGCTGGTTCAAACACGATGTCACTCCCCATGTAGGCCTCCACCATCTACAGAGGTACAAAAGTTAATTGTCAGGCCAGTGTGTAAAATATACGGGTTAAACGCCCTTGTCAACAATATTAATTTATTTCAGAGGTGGGACGTCCGAATTAAAGCGAAATATGTTGAGAGCCTTGAAAATTTCACAAATAAAATGTTCCATGTTCAAGAATGCCCAGTCTGGAATTCGAACCAGGGCCATCCATTCAATGGTCAAGCATGATACCAACTAAGTTAATACTAATGGACCACGTCATGTAATAAAAAAAATTTAAAAAACAAATATCACTAATGCAATAAATTCCAAATCCTTGGAAAGATGGTTAACCAGGGCATGCTAAAAAAAACAATCAATCAGAAAGTCACTCACTGGCCGGAGAGTCAGCGCTCGGTACAGATCAGATGGCTGGCAGTGAAACGATTCTGTCATAGTCAGCGTTTTAGTTGTGATGCGAACACCAACTCCTACTGGTTTTTCTGTTGTGACAAACTTGTTCATCTCCTGCTTCGACTTATTCTGAAAAGACAAATATCACGAATGGTCAATTTTACTGAAATTAAATTAGCAAAAACAAGAAACAATTCATTAAAAGATTAAATCTGCGACAATATTTCAACAAAAAGGGTATTTCTGAATTGACACAAAAGAAAAATATAACTTAAAAAAAGGAAATTAAAATGTATCAAAGTTGTGGCACCACCAAAAGAATAAAAATCATTTGGCAAGTTATAAACTAGCCAGCTTTGTGCAGCAGTGACTACCCATATAATCAAGTCTCACAAACATTCTGTGCTCACTAATCACTCAAACATTCAGGCTACCCAAATATGTATCTACAACTAAAAGTAATTTAGGAGATATTTCCAACACTCCGACTCTTACAGCAAAATTTAGCAGTGAACACAGATATGAACTAGTAACCACATTCCCAAAAGAATTGATCATTTGTTTTAGTAAGAGTTTTACGGCATTTGCAACACAATAAGGTCATATAAGTGCCGAAGATTAGAGGTGTTACAAGAGAGTAACAAACATAAAAAAGGAGGAGGAGAGATCAGGACAAAAGATGTTTGATAGGAAAGAAGGAGCAAACCACACCAGAGCACCCGCCAACCACCCACAATAATTGAAGGAGAAAAAAAGGGGAACTTGAAAAATAAATGGAATAGCATAGCCCACACCAAAATACATAATTTGCTTATTCAATTCAATAAATTTAACACTAAGACAAGTACTTGGGACAACATATATAATGGAGGAGGAGGGGGAAAGGAGGAAGTGGAGGAGGAGAAAGAGGAGTTTGAGTGTGGAGAAGCACATCAGCATAATAACTGTCATATATAGTGCAGGGAAAATGTAAGACATAGACAGAAACAACAGAGAAAAAGAAAAGAAGCAGGGCCTACCAGTGGAGGAGGAGGAGGAGACAAAACAAAATAAAAACAACAACTATAGAGATAATAAAAGAATGACAAAAAGCAAAAACAGTCTCTACCTCCCCACTGCTAGGAGCTTTCGCCTGACTTGTGCTCTGCTCACTGCCTTTGGTGGGTAGGATGATGTTCTGACTGTACTCTGCGGCAAAACATGCATGACCAAAAAAAAATTAAATTAACTGTGATACAGTCCGTTTGAACCTATAGATCTATAAGTCTAAACCAGTACGAAGTTGTAAAGATAAACTTTTATCTCATATGATCTAAACACACGATAACAATAACAGACTCTTAAAACAGAGGAGAACATTCTTAAAGGTAGCAATTTATTGAAACACTGAAGTATGAACCTAACTGGTGCATTAAAAAAAACAACAACACAAAAATGTACCATGACTAGAACCCGCCTAAGAATGAAGATCAGCTTATACTGTATCATTACTGTCTTTTCTATATCTCTCAGGAAAATAATAAAGACTAACAAACTCATCAAAATTGTAGAACAGGTTTTTGACCAGATATACTCTTTTATGATAGCTGCATATCTAATCAAGGATAAGTGAAAAATCCAGAATCTTACCCAATCTTAGATCCTCTATGTATTTAGCCAAACGCTCTCTTATCAAGTTTGCTCCCTCAACTCTAAAAATATCCTTCAGCTTATGTGCTTCATCACAACTTTTATCTGCCGTCACATTCACCTGTAACAAACAAGAATTGACTTCATCCAGTATAGAAACACAGCTTAACACACGTCATCACTTAAAACACAGTCTTTTCTTCTTTCTTCTGACAACACTTAGCAAGAAAACATCACAGAAAGCTTCAGATCACACAAAACCCAGGTTCTCATTTGTGATGGTCAAAGAAAAATGCTTTAGGGACATGCACAGACAATAGGTCCCTTTATCTGACAGAGTAACAAACAAAAGTCACCCCATGATGGTAACCTGTCCTTGAATATTATGCTTAAATACCACAAAAAGTAAAAAATTGCTATTCCACTGCTAGTGAGAGAGGCATACTGGAGTGTAGTGGGAATAATCCTAACCCCTAACCACCCACAACGATGACCCATGAGTAAGGCTGTCCTCAGAGAAATTCGCGTGCGCAACCCGCAAGTTGCGCACGCAACTTTTGGCCTCAGTGCAACTTTTCCGCAACTTTTGCCTTTTTCGTGAATTTGCGAATTTTAGGCAATTTTCTGCAAAAGTTGAAAATTAATAATTTAATTTAGGTAAAAATAACCAAAATTTTCTTCCACAACTAAAAATAATGACGCGAAGAGGGACAATTCGTACCTGGAATTAGATCTACCACTTCCTTTGCACTAGATCTACGGGATGCCCCCAGTGCCCGTTGCGGACGAGATCAAGTCGGGACATAGAGTTACCCCCTTTAAACTATGGTAGTGTCAATTGCCACCGAGTGACGCGGTGGCAATTGACAAACCTTAAACTATAGTGTACATCTATCCGACTCGTTGCCTGAAAACAACGCGTTTGTTTTTGAGGCAACGAGTCGGGCGCGATCAATTTGCGCTATTAGTCTGTCGAGCAAACCGACCCGTCCCGACCTGACCTCCCCAATAGTCCTGGTTTGACTGAATTATCTTCTACTTCTTCTAGATCTAGCTAAGTCTAGACTCTAGATCTAGATATAGAGAAAACTCAATCGTAAACAGGATCGTCCGATTATTTAGCTTGCGTGGTTCCGTAGCACCAAGTAGATAGATCTAGCATAAAAATTAGTGAAAGACTTTAAATCTTAGGCCAGGAGGGTAGATCTAGACATGGATCGATTCATCCATAACCTTACGCCTGGAAAAGGCCGAAAATGGGGGGGGGGGGGGGGGGGAGGGAGGAGGAAAAGGTAAGAAAAGTGTAAAGGGGGGGGGGCAAAAATCCCCCAAAAGGTGCAAGATTATATTTGAACAGCCCCAAAACCACGCTGGTCACACCTTCCCAACGTCAGCGAGAGTTTGAGGACCTGACGCACGTGTCAGGGGACAAACTGTTTTTGTACACCATGCAAGCAACCTCCAGGCAGTTTTTTTTTTTTTGTGGGTACAGTAGACATTCACATTTAACTTTTGAGTTTGATCTAACAAAACTCACGTTAGTTACTTTGATTGCAATGAGCATAGCAACAATGTATTCCAATAGTTCCACGACATTTTTAGCTATACACGTCTTGCAACTTTTCTTGCAACTTTTGTTCATTTTTCTTGCAACTTTTTTGCAACTTTTGTTGATTTTTCTTGCAACTTTTTTGCAACTTTTGTTCATTTTTCTTGCAACTTTTTTGTAACTTTTGTTCATTTTTCTTGCAACTTTTTTGCAACTTTTGCTATTTTCAAATGCAACTTTCTTTGAGGACAGGTAAGGATCAGAACCCCCCCTCCCCCCCCCTAAAAAAAAACCCCCATCCACAAACACTTAAAGCTATCCTTAAAATTTTACAGCTTTATCAAAAGGCCACAGAGGAATAAACAGTCAAAGCAAAAATGCCAAAAGCTTCTGTATTTAGTGCAAGACTACTCACATCAATTTCATTTGGCTCATTCTCCTCACTCAAGTTGGGTATAACAAATTTTCCTTTGTATGACTTGACATCGTCATTCAGAATGCCTGTCAGTAAAAAAGGGGAACAATGAAGATAATTTCCAACGCTCATCAGGTAGAACACATATATATTTGTTTTAGTAGGGGTTTTACAACGCTCGCAACTGCATAAGGTCATATGAGCGCCAAGGGGTGGATGTCAACAGAGAAGTCCTTACAGGGAATCAGACTTACTCTGCTCACCTCTCTAACTTCAACAGCACAAAGTCTGCTTTGACTATCAAGGCACCCCGGAAATAGCGGGTCACAAGAGTGTGACAAACATACAAAAGAAGTAGAGGGGAAAATGACGATAGTAAGGATTAGGAAAGAAAAAGCAGCAGTTCCCTGCTGCAGTTCAGGCAGTTATGAGCATGACATTGATGAATCAGCCCATTTACAATTACAGTTCTACTGTGAATAAGAACATGGTCTATGTCCCCCCTTTGGGAATGGCCTAAAGACACTGCAGTCAGTAGAACTGCCCTGGAGGGTAATTCATTACTTTGATTCATTTCAATATAGGCAATACTGTCTCCATTAAGTCATAGGTCTATTCCTTGTTTTGTCACAGCAAGCTCTGTTAACCCTCATCCTGCGGGGGCCGGGTTTATGTCGCCTGATAAGCCTATTTCAGCACCTCCCCTTCATTCTGGTCCCGAATCAGTGTAGCCCCTGGCTCAGCGCACGCGCATCATCTTACGTGAAATTCGGGTCCCGAGTCGGATCCCCATTCACGCAGGTCAAGTGTGTGTGCGTCAGTCTGCTTGAGTTTGTGTGCGTTTGTGGCCTTCTTCTAGAACCGCCTGCGTTGGTTCGTAATCGAAGCAAACGTCTCATTCAAAACACGCCAAGTTGGTAGCTCTAGATGTTCGTCCAATGAAATTATAGAAGAAATTGACCCACTTAGACATGAGGAGCTCGAAAAGATAGTCAGGAAACAAGACTTCCATTTTTCTATACAAAATCTTTCAAATGAGCTTGATTTTGTATGAAATGAAACTAGCTGATAAAAAAGAAGCTTGTTTGATAGTTTGGAATACCATTATGCTGGTACAAAGAACAATTTGAGTGCAAAACATTCGGAAATTGACTTACATTATCCCCTTTCGAACCTCAGGTCATTCATAACAACAAGAGCGTCTAGGAAGGTTATTCGAATGGGCGTAACTACTCGTAATGTCTTATCAGCTTGTGAGAGGGGGTTATTCATGTGTTTGTAACACTTTATAAATAGAAAGCTATGAAAGATAGAGCGCTATTTTCATCATCGATTAACACACTCCCACGGTATTCACGGCGAAAACACATGTTTCCCGGTGCGTGTGCTGTACACCAACAGTACACACTGAGTGACCCCGGCAGCCTGCCCGGCACGTCCGACGTAATCGGTTGCTGATAAGATTCGCATCTCGGCACAGATGCAGGACAAGAGTTAAAAATTACACACAATATGATTTTCATCATAATAAGGTAGCTTTCAAACTACAAGCATGTACTACCCACCCAGGTGTTCAGAAAAGAATAATTTGATATGTGAAGGTTGTAGTACAAACTAGCATGTTTTTATGATTAAAAGAGAAAAAATGAAGAAAAAAATTAAAAAATTAAACTGTTGGAAAAAAAAAAAGCTTTTTTTTTTACTTTGTTGGCTTCTTTTGGCGAAAATCAATCAGTGAAGTCTCCAAATTCAATCTTGCAGTGTAGTATAGCACAGCAATTTTCCCGATATTTCCTTGGGTACCAGTACTACATTCTTTACAAACTTTTTTTGTGTCCTTCTGTGAGGAATAAATAGATTTTCAGTAGTAGTAGTAGTATAGGGTTTTACGGCGCTCGCAACTGCTAAGGTCATATGAGCGCGCGAAACACAAGTTGTTTACTTCCGCAAAAGTTCACTGCACAGTTGGTTAGCTTTTAGCCTTTAAAATGTTAAAATGTTATAAAAAATCAGTGTAGATATACATAATTTTTTTTATCTAAAACAATTTTTTCTAGTTAACATAAAAATTTTTAATTGTATCAATTTCACTCTACAACTCACCATAAAGGCCAATGGCCTTTATAAAATTCAAAATTCTGCTGGACAACAACGGAAAAAATGTCTTGCAATTTCTTGCATTTATAATATTTCCTTCGGATCTCTCCAAAGTCCAGACATTCGGTTAAGATGTGTCTAATGGTAAAATCTGTGTCGCATCCGACACAGAATGGCTTCTCATCTCCTTGTAGGAGGTATTTGTGGGCCAGGGCTGTGTGTCCGATGCGCAATCGAGTAAAAATGACTTCGTCTCTTCTGGAGAGGTCCGAAAGATTTCGCTGTTCCAGTTTGGATTTTATTTCATATAGTTTATTGTTTTTCTGCTTTTTCCAGTGGCTCTCCCACAGACTGGATAGATTTCAGTAGTGTTTTCTTCCAACACATACTTCTTACCATGCATACTAACCCAACTCCCACACAGCTAGGAGAAAATAAATCAAAATCAAACGTTGAAACTAACAGGATGTAATTCAATTGTGAAGGACAAGTTGAATAAAAAGGATGTGAAGAATGCGGGTCACTTATTGTTAAAAGTATAATTATTCCATAAGCATGTCACATTTCAGTAGATGGAAAGGCAATTAAAAGCAGAAACAGTAAAACAAAATTAAGAGAAATAGATGAATTTTTAAGTCAGAAACAGGAGGATCATCAGTGACACTTAATTTTTTAATTTTTTTAAAACCCAACTTTTTACAACTCACTTCTATTCTGTAAAGGTCCGAAGACTCAACTTGACAATAATACTCGATTACTCAAGTCTTAAAAACATTAATTTTTTAAACAAGAGCCCTCATCTTAAATTATACATCCAAAATCGTACATGACATAGGAAAAAACGATAACTTCAATAACAATAAATTGATCGTCTATAGATAGATATTAACTCACTCTGTTTACTTCTGAAAAAATCTGGGGGGGTTATCCCCCTACTGTTACTGTAAGTGAAGCCCAGAAAACGATTACAAAACCAAGGTTCCTCACCTGACCATTCTCCTTTTATTTCAAATTCATAGAAGAAAATGAGCTTTGCTTTCCTGTTGTTTGCACTGGCTTCTCCTTCAATGCTGTTAATTTCTTTGATCTCGCATGTTCCTATGAAGTCATATAAAACAAAGACACATTTCATACATATATATACATACTTAAACGGACATCATTCATTTCAAGGCATACTTTACATCTCTGATAAAGACAGTCGTCACAACCACATACTTATCAGCTGAGGATATTTGGCACCTATACATTTTGATTTTCCAAATAAAGTCTATTTCAATGGCAAATCAAACATAGAGCACCATTTAAAATTACTTTCAACTAAAGAGGAAAACAAACATACTAACCTTTTAACAAACATGAACTTTTTATTCCCTCGAAAAACAGTACTCACAATGAACAAACAATTGCCTAGTATGCACATGAATGACATTTTTACATTATAGCCTATAACAGAATTTCAGGGAAGGGAAAAGCTTTTATTTTAAAATGTAAATTTATGGCGCTAACGTTTATAAATAATGAACTGGGACGATGAAAACCCTAAAATACCTATTTGAAACTTCAATATAATGCCAAATGATTAGCTGCTAGTTTTCAATCTCATACCTACCTTTCTCATGCTCAACTTTGAGCCCCTTCAGCAATTCCTTGAGTTTCTCTTTCGACCAGTTTGTGGCATTCTTTTCTACCCTGAAATTTATACAAACCATCATGACGTCAAAACATTGAAAGGTAAAAGTAAACTTTAAACCCCCCACCTTCATCTCATACACAGATCCAAGGTCATCATGTGGGTGACAGCTACGATGTGTTGTGTCTAACTAAAACAGGGATAGACAATAACAGCTGAGTGAGATTTTATATCTATGCAAAGGGGGCGGGGGTGTATAAGACTTTATTTTTACCAATAATTTACAATACATGCAAAAATTAAAATACACATCAGAGTGTCATGATAGAAGCTGAAGCATAGTACCACATTTTATCTGACTAGTAAAACTGGTTGCTCCAATTGGGAATGGAACAAGTCCACTTAATAGAGTAGGACTTATCAAAATGAAGAAAGCAAGCCATTCTCTTCTGAGGTTAATTCAAAAGGGCTTTTGTTTTCTTTTGAAAAAGGGGGTGGGTGATGTAAGAAGGATTTTTTCGTGTTGTTGTTTTGTCGGTTTGTTTTTTGGTTAACTTTCTTTTTGTTGCTGATTTTGTGCAAAGGTAAAATGAAAGAAATATTATATAAGTAAGACGATGATACCGAATGCCATGGTAAAACAAACACACGGGTCACCACCACCGGAGAACGGCCGACGCTTCTGTCTGAAGTCCAAGTCAACGTCCATTGTTACAGATTAGGTAAATAAAACAGTGACCAGTCACCTCACATGCGCTTTGTGCATGAGTTGCAGGCGGGGCTTATAGCTTATGATAGATCACACACTTCCCTCACCAGCACCTTAACATTTTTTGTTAGGCCTACCCATTGGTCAACTTGGGTAAACATTCTGTGGAGGGACTAACAATATCGACAAGTGAATGAATTATGACTGCCCGTCCACAGCGTGAGGGGCCGATTCAAAATCTAAGACAAAGCGTCAGGCGATGAGTTAGCACAGCTGGCCACCTGAGGCAGGTCAATTTGCCACATTTAGATATTAATGTCCCTCAAGCAAAAAAACTTTACTTTTTGAGAATTGGTCCGTAAATGAAAAAGTTAAAGTTGCATGTGCAGCGATGACAATAAGAATTAAAATTTTTAACCAAATTGCTTTTAAACAAGCTTCAATTAAATAGGAATACATTTTAAGAACTGCTGTTTTTAAAATTTTAAAAAATCAATTGATACATGAAAGTTATAGGGATTTTTGTTGCTTGAGAGGTATTACAAAACTTCAACGTTTTCAACACATTTTGCTTAAAATTACTTTGGTCTAATTTTGAATTGCAGAAATTAGTTAAATTTACTCCACCTGTTACAAAAACAATATGTTTCACCTCAAAAGAATCAACACTGTTCTCCAATCACCCCCTCCAAAAATCAACAGAGGTATAGGGTAAACACATAACACGGACCTTTGTTACCTATTTAGTTTTAGGCAGCTAATCAAGAAACTTTTGCATGCTGGCTGGCTACTTATTCAGTATATGACCCAGTTTCCAGCTGTGTTTTTTCACTGAATGGGTGGTAATTTTAAGTTGGTACCGGTACATAAAAATGTACTAAACACAGGGATCTGAAATTTTACAGACATGTGGAGCACCTGTCTGGTTGACTTCCTTTTAGCTTTTGAAATACAGAAGAAAATCATACATCATACAAACACAGCAGTTTCCCCAGTTCTAGACATTTGTTGGCATTGTACATTTGCATGCATGTAGTCTTTCTTCTGATTGGTTTGAAATTTTAATTAATTTTCGTCCTCAAGTTTTCTTGTAACTATTTGAAAGAGAGCCATCTCTGATACTGAACAGCCCAAAAATTACACCTTGATTGCCAGTACAAAGCGCAGCAGGTGATTTGCATAGCAATGACATGAATACTATGACTGTTACTGTGTCCAAGTCGAAAATTGGGGACATTTTGGGGAAAGGCAAAACTAGATCTCTAGATCCAGATAGTTTTCACACTTGTGAATGGAATGACCCGAAAATAGGCTTTTTTTTACTGCATGCAGACATTATAAGCACTTTAAAAAAACTATTCACAAAATATAATTCATCATGACCAACAAAGCCTCCAAAATCACACTACCGAACTCAACAACACCTGTGAGAAATTCAACATGAAAATAAGCCCATCAAAAATAGAAGTTAGTTATGAAAGTGAGCCGAAACCATAGTCCCCTGAGGTGGCTGGTCAGATGACATGCGTAACAGGTGTCCAAACCATTTTATCCTCTGTCTTTTCATGTAATGCATGCAGGACTCAGTGCCGATAGCTGCTCTTACTTCTTTATTTCTCTGCCTGTCTCGTCTTGTGATGTTAAGGGTTTTGCGGAGACATTTCATTTCGCATGCGGTGATTTTGCTTTCATGGGTTTTGCTGAAGTAGGAACTTGTAGATTACCCCCTTTAAGTTTTGGTGGTGCGTGAGCGTTACTCTTAAAAATTTCGTCTCAGGGGTTTGCATATTTATATATATGCTTTAAAACGTAGGTGGTGTGTATCTGGCAAAAAAACTTTTCCCCCATCTCTATCCCGAAGTCGAGTCAAAGATTTTACAACACACCCACACACATGACACGGCAGTCACCTTTTGTCTGTGACAGAAGCAGTCGACCTACTTATCAGCTGCACGCAGTTTCCAGCGACACCGGCTGGCTTCAGCAGAGAAGCTCCATTCACATTCTGGTCGCTTGTATTTGCCAGTGTCGTGCCTTGAGTTTACCCCTGCCGTGAGATTACCCCCATCCTTCTTTAACATTCTCCGCCATTTTTACAAAAAATGAATGTTTTATCATTTGAAATAATTCGAAATTAACTAAAAGAGTTGTAACACTAGTTACCCTAACCCTAACATTGCCTAATTTAGTCTTACATAGAAGGGTGGACGGCAGGGGGTAATAAGTCAAAGCACCACACTCTGTGTGAGTCTGTGTGAATGTGTGTGTGTGTGAGTTAAACGTTAACATGCAAAAATTCTTACAATAAACTTAGGAGACACGATTTTTTTAGAGGATTAGTGTGTCAGAAATGAACAAAAAAACAACATTATCCCTTAAAAATAAGTTTCTAAAACTTAAGGGTTTAACCCTTCAAATAGAAAACAAAGGGTGAAGGAACCTCTTAAGTTGGCCTGAAAAGGGGAGCCCTGACCAAGACATTGGTGTTTTGGCCAATGAGTAGGCTATGACCTTAGCTGAAAATTAAAGCTTGCTCTGACAGTAGGAACACACTCCCTGGCAACAATGGGATTCAATTCATGATTAGAAAACATGGTTAACAATTCAAAGATCCATGTTTGCCTAGAATTCTACCTCTTCTAGATCTAGATATCTACATAACTCCACAAAGTTGACAAAGATAAAATTGAAAAAAAAGGTGGTCTTTCCCATTTGAAGCCATTTCGCTTAAAATTATTTTGGCCACCTCTATTCTCACCCGGGGTGAGAATAGCGCAGTTGCAGGTCTCTCACCCGGGGTGAGAGGGTGAGCCTTTTGGCTATTCTCACTCGGTGTGTGTTCACCGTGATACATGTACCATGTAAACAAACATTCCAGCTCTCTTGTGTTGAAAGCGTGCAATTTTGTATGCGGACAGTGAGAGGGAGAGGGGAGAGAGGAAGGAGAAAAAGATGGGAGAGAGAGGAGTAACCTAGATATATAAGATCTAGCGAGAACTTCTGGGCATATCAATATGACGACCAGCGTAGTTCGGCTCGATTCACAAAGTGAAATAACCGTAGCATCTTTGTGTACTTTGTAGAGGGCCAAATTAGTTTACATTTGTGCTATAACAACATTTTTTCTTTGGCTTTGTCAATTTGATCATCCACACCAATAGAAAGTATTCAGAAATTATATCTAGGAAAAACAGGTCCTGTTTCACACCAGGTGAGAGAATAGCCAACACTGGCAAGTCTCACCCGGGAGTGAGAGTGACGGGGTGAGAGGTCAACGCATTTTTATTTTCACTCCAAATGTTTCTTTACTTTTATAGACATTAAATCATGAGTCCCAGTGTTAGAACCAAGACCATCAGATTAGATTGCAAGTATAAAAAGATATTATAAGAACATCCCCACCTCCGCCCCCAACTCAAGCAGACACCGTCTAGGTCTACCCTCTAGGTCATGACTGACACAGTTAGACAGCAACCTGTCTCAAGAGACTCTACTTTCAAATAGATCTAGATTCTAAATCTAATTTGCTGTCTCACCAGTGCCAATTATTTACGTTCGTAGCATCAGGGCGATCTTCTACAATCCATCTAGGATCTCCTTCTCCCCACTTTGCCATGTTTGTATCTTGGATAGTTTGTTAATTAACTTGACAGAATTTTACTCAGCAACTCGCCGAAAACACGGGAGTATTCTAGAACTGCTGTAATACTAACAAATGTAAAACCGGAAGCAGCATGTTAGAAACAACGACATCTCCTAGTAGGCCCTACTGTTTTTAACCAGCATACTAAATGCCAACATTCTACATTACTTTTTTAAAGCATTCATTTCACTCAGGTATTTTCTGAAGTAATTTTCAATCTGTAAGGAACAAACTGAGCAAAACCAAAGCTAATTAAGATCTTAAGTGATGGCATTTGCTATGAAAATCCCCCTCCATCTTTTCATACTTGTTCGAAAGATTGCATAATTAATGTGGGCTATAAATGTGACCCAATCTCAAACTAAAACAAACTGTGGGTAGATTTAACGCATTTATAATAACAAACTAAAACGAGAAATGTATAGGTTGCTGTTTGAAGAGCAGATCTATATCCATGCTATAAGTACTGCATGTTTATTCAAAACAGACCAAAACATTAACAAATTAAATATATAGATCTAATATCAACAAGGATCAGGAATCATATTTGGAAGTTTCGAAATTTAGCAACATGAGTTCCAGACCCGACAACTTACCGCCAGTAGTATTATTTCCGCCGGAACATTCAGTTGCATCCTGTCAACATCAACTACTCTGTGGTGTGGGCCGCGAGCCTTGGTCAACTGTGGTCTAGCATTGAGAAGTAAGAATGGAACTTAGGCTAGTGGCAGCTTCTGGCGTTCTTACTGCCGAAGCAAAATATGAAAGAGTATGCTCTGATATAACAGGAGCATGCATCTGTCACCAATACACCTCTCAACGTTTCTTCCATCCATGCTTTGCCAGTGGCTGTGAAGGCCCTGGCGCCTCTAGAATCTAGATCTAGATTTTTATATAGATCTAGTCTAGATCTAGATCTAGATCTAGATTTCTATATCTAGATCTAGATTCTAGATTCTAGATATATATCTAGATTCTAGTGTCCTAGAATCCTAGAAGCTACATCTAGATCTAGTCTAGATCTAGATTCTAGTGTCCTAGAATCCTAGAAGAAAGGAGAAAAATAGCTACCACTGGCTGGCACTGGCACAACTTAACTAGATCTACCTACCGCTACCAGTGCTAGATCTAGATCAAGAATCTAGTTCTGCACTTTACTACCTCGTTCAGTATCTAGATCTAGATATTCTAGATCTAGATTAGATCTAGAGATCAGGGCAATCTAGTTAGGCTCTATACTCTATACTATTTTAGCTGACTAGATCTAGAATCGGTGATCTTGTAGTTCCGTTCGTTAAAGTTCATGATACATTTGTTTACATCCAGAGAAGAAATCCAGAAGTATTGATGATCAAATAGGCAATGCAAAGAACAGGGATGCAACCTAACTGCAAAACATCAAATTATGGTCAAATCCAGGGGGGGCATGAAACCCCCCCACTCCCCTCCATATTAAAGGTCAGCCCCCTGAAACCCCCCCCTACTCTTGACTTAAACAAACAAAACTGTGACAAAATCGCCCTAGAACCTAGCAGTCTACTGCTTACTAGATCTAGATATCTAGATCTAGTGCCACTGCTACTGGCTCCTGCTTCTGCAGAGTTCAGTACAAGCGGATAGCCAGAGAACGACAACCTAACGCCATTGGCCAATGTAACAGCCAACTTGTTTTACCTCGCAAGAGGGATGCCCACAGCATCTTTTGATGGTGATTAGAAAAATAGTGATGATTTTGCGTAGCGTGCGGTTTTCACCGGCAGTTTCTAAGACAAGCGGATAATTAATTATTGTCAGATGTACGTCATTGGCCGTTATTTATAGTAACAGCCATCTTGTTTAACGTCATTGAGGGATTCCCACTTTGATGTCAGTCATGGTGGCAACATGACCGCAGGACGGCAGCCAGCAGCCTGCCGATTCGGATTAGATCAATTTTCTTTGCAACTTGCAGAACTGTTGTCTGTGAGTGTGCAGTACCCTTTTTCCGCCCAGATTGATTCTGATGCTGAAACTACGAAAATTGAGATGAAGAAGACTAAGAGTAGGCCTGCGTGCGGTCGTGTTGCCACCATGACTGACGACAAAGTGAGAATCCCTCAATGACGTCAAACAAGATGGCTGTTACTATAAATATCAGCCAATGACGTACATCTGACGTTCTCTTATTATCCGGTTGTGTTTCCTAGCTCCCTCCACTTAACCTATAGTTCTACTCCATTTGCAGCTCAGGGTCCTACTGGGTCCAATCTCTTGTAAGTGCTTAATTTCTTGTGCTTACAAAACTTTAAAAGAAACGATCCGGATCGAAACATTGATCATTTGCATTGCGGAGCTGAACTTTGTTTGAACTGGCTTTTGTATCCAAATTGACATAGGCCTACTCTTAGTTTTCTTTTTCTTCTCAGTTTAAGTAGTGTACAGCGTCAGAATCAATCTGGGCGGAAAAAGAGTGCTCACAGACAACCAAACCGAACAGTTCTGCAAGTTGCAAAGAAAAATTATAATCCGAGTCGGCAGGCTGCGTCGTGCGGTCGTGTTGCCACCATGACTGACTGACAGTGGGAATCCCTCAATGCCGTCAAACAAGATGGGTGTTGCTATAAATATCGGCGAATGGTGTTTAGTTGTCATTCTCTAGCTATCCACTTGTGAGTTCAGTCGTTTGTAATGAGTTTGGGCTCTCTTCGGGAGAAGTGGTACCGGCCTAACTCTAGAAATTTATACCCAAAATCGGAAGCAAAAACGGAAGTCGTAAAAAAGCTGACTGAGTTGTCAGGGTGTAAAGGCCACCAGTAAATTTGTAGACTAGAAAAGGTCCAAATCCATTTTAAACTATTATTCGGCACTATTTTAACGTGTTTTCGTGTGCTGAGAACAATTTTGGCACTAAACACTGTCACAAACCATTATTTTTGTGAATTTAGCAAGGGGAGAGTACATAATCATCAATGTATAAATTTCTATGGCGTTATGTCAGGACCACTTCTCCTGAAGAGGGCCTGAGTTTGGCTTGCTAAAGGATAAGATGGGTGAAGTGCTTCAAAATTCAATGATGAATATATGAATGGCATTCATGGCTACTCATGTTTGTATACTGACTTATTAGAATCCTGAAACTTTCACTTTACCTCTGTACTATATAGGCTGTTAGCAGAAGTAGCACAATCCTCTTCCCCCCCCCCCCCCCCCCCCCCCCCCGTTGAGCTGAGCATGAAAGTGGTGGTATAGTGGAGCTGGTGGAACGAGATAGCACCGATTGCCATCTTGACAATGACAAGTAAACTATGGACAAATGGTGCCAAGTCTTGACTTCGTCTAGATTTTTCTTGCACAATTACCATGCGCAGGGGAAAAACAAATAGCAACTATTAACATTATGTGTAACATGTAAACCTACAGCTGCTGCTGAACTTTATGTAAATTCAAATTGAACTTTTTTCTTGGTCAGAAGCTAGGCTAATATGCCAAAGACCCTGTAGTCGTACGTTAAAAAAATGTTACGGGATACTTGTCTCACAGGTGCTTGCTAGCCTTTTGGGCTGATGTCTGGAGCAGTTCCTTTGAAGTTTCTCCTGGCAATTAAAAATTTCATTCCAATTTCCTTTTAAAAATATTGGCCAAAGCCTAAAAATAACAGCATTGTTGTCATAATATTAGTGCAAGTCTAGAGCAAATCTTAATCTACGACAAATGCTAGAAATAGATCAAACTCATAGAGACCTGTGTGGGGAAAGATTATCAAGCAGCCACAGAGTGGGTGATGTGCTCTCTGTATGTAGAGTGTAAATTTACATTAGTTTAATAAGGACCATACAACTTGGACAGTTGACACTGTTTAAGGCATAAATACTATGTTTATAGCTATAGGGGTTCCTTTTCGTACTTTGGCAAAACCTGGTGGTAAGCAGGGCAAGTGGTAAAATGAATTGCGATATATATCAAGGTTTGACTGTAATTAATTTTTAAAATTTGAAACGACTCTCCTGATGAAGAGGTATTTAGTTAGGTCACTAAAAGTGAGAGTTGCTTGTGGTCAGAGATAACCACCTACCTGAGAACAATGGTGGGAAGCTTCATTCATCAGAACACTGTACACTGAGTACACAGAAATGTACTTTGTACTTGTACCCACTTCTACTTGTTTTTAGTTCTATCGTAGACATTGACGATACATCACTGCATGTGACTTGCTTCCTGATGTTGTATATTCTTAGTGGCATTACACTCTGGCTATACCACTAGTTACTGTCAGGCATTTTTGGTTGGGCAGAAAGTGAAAAGGAACTTACGAAAAGGACACCTCTTTAAATTCAATTATTGAAATATACTGACTTGCAATATTTTCATCCTTTGATTTAGAGTTGTTTGAGTGAGACAAGTGCTTTTTTTTTTTTTTACTTTATAAAACCATTTCTCCAAGGTTTCTCTTGACTTCCGAAAATTTTTCTCCCCAGGTGAGGATCAAAATGAAAATTGATACAGGTTTAGATTCAGTTGTATGAAAAAGTAAGGATGGAAGAGCTTTCATCTCAGCGGAGTCGGGGTGTGTGGAACTGGTCAACTCTTTGTGATCATGGAGAGAACTTACAGGCATGGGAAGGTTCTGATTTTGGCCATTGCTTTGAACAACTGGCCATTCTTAGCCCCACCCATGCCTTCCTGGCTCTGATCAGCAGCTACCATTTTGGTCGCCGTCGCAGCAGCCTGAGAGGGAACAGTTTGTACGTGAGCTGGACCAGTTTTCTCATAGTCCGATTCGTCTGTACTGTGGCCCTGATGCTGAGTCCTGTCTGTCAGATCATTTTCTCCATCTCATTAGAGCATATGCTGCCCAGTATAGCTGATGGAGTGTTTGCAGGTCTTGCCTTTCTCAGTTGGACTCTCCATGCTCTATATGTGTGGAATGTTCGATACCTTCACAGCAACAGTTTAAGAGGTCCCTTGTCAGCAGTGATCAGCGTTCTGTTGGTAGCGGTATCCTCTGCGGTACATGTTCACACTGTAGTGACCCGACGCATGGCTCACTCACCACATCAACTTGCCACAGAGGAGTACACTGCTTATCTTAACGCTGCTTTTTGTCTCATTTACTTCTTTACTCTGATTCCTAACAAAAGTCGTATATACCACAGCGACATTTTTTGTCTCAATGGAAGCGAGGAGGCTTCTGAACCTTTAACATGGGACAGAATACGCAGCTACAGCTCAACGGTACCTCAAAGAGAAAATGTGATTGTTGCAGAGGCCAGAGTGGGCTGCATCTCTTGGCTCACATTCCAGTGGGTGCAGCCCCTGATGTCACGTGGTGCAGTGAAGAAGATAAATAGTGTGGATGACCTGTACAAGCTGCCACGCAGACTCAACACAAATCTAATCAACCAGAAATTTGAAAAGATTATGATAAAGGCATTTAAAAGCGAGGATCAGAGGAAAACTAGAGCCCTTGATGCAAGTGGTTCTTTTGAGAACAGTTTTGGAAATTCTGCTGTAGTTTCTGATCAGCATCAAGCTGTCAATGATAGGGGACAATCTCTTAATGACCCGAGTCAGTACCAAGTAAGATATGAAGGCATGCGAACCCAGGATGAGAATATCACTTCTTCCCCCTATGAGACTGGAAAACATAGCCTGCGACAAATAAGCTTGTTTAAAGTTCTGAATTCCGCATTTGGTTTGGAGTATTACTGCCTTGGAATGCTCAGACTGCTGGGAGACTGTTTGAGTTTTGCCGGTCCACTGCTGCTCAATTATTTAGTAACATTTATAGAGGACAGATCAGAACCAATGTTCCATGGCTATCTTCTAGTCGGAGGTTTATTTCTTTCCACGTTACTGGGGACAGTGTGCTACACTCAGTTTGACTACAATGTTCAGGTGGTGGCCTACAAAATTCGTTGTGCTGTGGTAACAACTATTTACCGAAAGTCTTTGACCATAAGTGGAGTGGCTCAGTCACGTTTCACTTCAGGAGAAATAGTCAACTTTATGAGCACAGACTGTGACAGAATACTTAACTTCTGTCCGAGCTTTCATGCGTTTTGGAGTCTTCCTTTTAAAGTGAGTACATATATGGATTTCTTTTTGTTTGTGGTGTTTTTTGGGGTTTAAACATTTTTTAATTACAATTTTTTACCCCCCCCAGACTGAGGACAAAGACCTGGCTTTTGGAGTTGCTTTAACGCTGAAGCTGCTTCGTCCCCCCCAGCAGGGCTACTGACTGCTGAAGTGTCTTTTGACCATTCACAAAGGGGGGATATTAACATGTTCTTCAGTAGAATTGTTACTGGGATGATTTATCAATGTCATGCTCATACTGTGCCGGAACAACGTAGTAGGGGGGAACTGCTGCTTTTTTTCCCTCATCCTTACTATCGTCTTTTTTCCTCTACTTCTTTTATATTTTGTGACTCTCTTGTGAACTGCTATTTCCGGAGTGCCTTGATAGTCGAGTGGACTTTGTGCTGTTGAGGCTACAGAGGTGAGCAGAGTAAGCCTGATTCCCAGTTTAGACTTCTCTGTTGACATCAACCCTTTGGCGCTCATATCACTTTATGCAGTTGCAAGCGCCGTAAAGCCTTACTAAAACAAACAATTTTTTAAAAAATCTTTGATATGTTCAAAAGGAGCAATTATATAATGATATTATGTGTATGGATTCTTTTTCTCTACTATTTGTAAGGCCTTTTTGGGGTAATGCGAGTAGTTTTTGCTGGTTTTAATTTTCATGTGAATGACGGGCTGGGCGTAGGTATGCCTCAAGTGTAACATCACTAGAGTCATTGTTATGTTTTATCGTGTTTCAAAGATGAGAAGTTGGTGGGTTCTCTGGTGTGGTCTGCTCCTCTACTTCTTTTTTAGGGTTTCTCTTGCCCTACAGTGCTTCCTGGTGAAATACTTCTTATATATACTTTGTTAAATTCCTGCAAATTAGAACCCATAATTTAAAAAATAGTTCCCGTTACTTGTTGCAAGGAGATACATCATGCACTCTAGACATTTCCAAGTTTTCTGTCTCGGGGAACACTGTATAAGAGCCTCTTTTCCCATAGTATTAAAATAATGTAATATATGTCTCTTAATGACTTTCTTTGCTTTCCCACTGCTGTTTTCCACTGCTAATGGTCTTGCTTTTTCTTCTTGCAGTAAATGGCCGCTATTTGCTTCTTCTTTTTTCTCAGATCCATACTAAAATATATGCATTTCTTTGTACACATTAGGTGGCTGTGTCCCTGTACCTGCTTTATCAACAAGTGGGTTTGGCATTTCTGGCTGGGCTCACCTTTGCTGTCCTGTTGGTGCCTGTCAATCGTTGGTTGGCCAAAAAGATTGGAAAGCTGAGCAGGGAAATGATGCAGCACAAAGATGGCAGGGTCAAAGTGGGTAGCAGAAAGTTCTCTTTCCAGAGCATAGGGAAAAAATGTTGTTCTTTAATATTTGATTTGATTTTGTTGAGGGGGGGGGGGGAGATAAATTTCTTTCTTTCTTTTTTTTTAAATCTTTTTTTTTTACAGGTTTGCATGAATGTGCTGAATATGGCAAAGGAAATAATGTTGGTGTCACAAGCAATCCACTTATGTCCATTTGGGTGCTTTTTGCACCAGAGACAAAAACAAACTAGTCAGGAATCATGGAAAGACAGAAAGTTGTAAGCCTTGACCTTAGCTTTAAACTACATTCTGATGTTTTTGAAAGGAGGATTTTTGATAAAAAGCTTTGGGAGGGGGAAAACGAAAATTCTCAAAATTTGGAATTAACTGGATTGCTTGCCATGGTGATGATAAAAAAGCTGCTTCTTTTCTTTTCTTACTGCTTTCTGAATGTATTGTATGTAGGGGGACAATTTTGTTTCCTAATGCTTTCTTTCAAAAATGGTTAGTTAGCCTTTCAATGCAATGCTAATCATTTTCAGATAAATTTTTTTTCTACCTTAGTACTTTTGTTACTCTTTTTTCTTTAATTTGTTCTGTTGTGGGTTGTTTTTTTTAATAAACCGTAAAAATGCTTTGAAGATGAGCATCATTAATAAGATCTTGGATTTGAGGGAGACATTTAGAAATAAGTAAAAACAATGTATTTTTAGTCTTTAAATTCCATTTTTTAAATTGAAAGAATAACTTCATTTTTTAAATTTCTTCAATTACCATTGGATTTCAGCTAATGAGTGAGATTCTGTATGGAATTCGTGTGGTCAAGCTTCACTCTTGGGAATCTCATTTTGCCGATCGCATAGCCTCAGTAAGGCAGCAGGAGCTGAAATGTTTGCGTGGTCGCAAGTACCTGGATGCCCTCTGCGTATATTTCTGGGGCACGACCCCTGTTCTCATCTCTATCCTGACCTTTGGCACTTATGTTCTGATGGGACATACTCTCACAGCAGCCAAGGTATGACGAGTGTTGTGAAAAACCCTTGCCTTTTTCTTGCTTGAATTTGTGAGCTAACAAGTTGATTTGATAGTAATGGAACATGTTTTAGAGTCTTTTGAATGCCTCAATTTTGCTATTTTTGCTATTTTTTATTAAACTGACATAGTCTTTTCAGGCTCTCAGCGGACAAAATAGAAGTGTTCTTTTGATTTTCTTTACTTGTTATTATTGTAACCTGATCCTCTCAAAATTGTAACCAAAAATGATCTTAATTGGGCCAAATTGCCATGAATGTGTCAACTGAACAATTGAAATGCTTTGGTCCCCAGGTGTTCACCAGTCTCTCCCTGTTTGTCATGCTGATCAGCCCCCTCAATGCCTTCCCCTGGGTCCTCAATGGTCTCGTGGAGGCCTGGGTGTCCCTGCAGAGGGTGCAAAAATTTGTTTGTCTCACTGATATGGATCCAGGAGCATACTACAGCCCACCAGCCCAGAGTTGTGAGTAGCTGTAACCATCGAAGAAATGGAACTTGTCTTTGGTTTTATTTGTTTGAATGCTGCCTCAACAGTATCACGTTTTTAAGTTGTAAGGCACTATTTAAATTCTCAGAGTCAGACTGTGTAAAGCAACAAGGATTATGGGCAGGGATAAAGAACCGAGCAACAAAAAAGATGACACACAGAAAAAGAAAAGGGAAAATTTGAGTCAAGCAGGTGATGCAAACAAATCAATAGTTCAGACAAATACTTTTTAGTGTTGGTTGCCATTGCAAGTAAGTGTTGTTTTGGTTTGTTGCACTTTTTTAGGGGGGTGGGGGGTGCAAAATGATACACCCAAAAACCAACCTGTTACATGCATGTTTTCACTTGGCATTGGTGTCCACAAAGCATTTTACCAATGGGAGTACCTTTTAAAAGATCTTGGAGGTACTGAAAAAAATTTGAATCAAATACGCACATGAGGAAAAAGTATGGAAATGCTGTTTTGAACTTTGAAACTTGCACTCATAGTGATCTCTTGTCTATATACTTCCAAGTATACTCCATAAAAAGTATTTGCTGCGGCATTTATGAAGAAATGTAAACATTGTCAATAAGTTGCAAATCTCTCCCCAAACTTAGTTGAGGGACCTTTGGTTATTTTCAAGCTGGTATCTGTTCAAATTATGAAAATGTTGAAAGCAGCAATTACTGTTTACCATGTGGCAGGATGACATATTTCATAGAGATAATAGTAATAAAAACTACTGATAATAATAATAATACAAATGTACCAGTCACAATTATGATGATGATAATTGTAATATTAATGGGTCTCAATTTTCAATTTTATAGAGCATTTCCATTCTGTGTATGCTCAACGCACTCATATGCAAGCAGGCTCTACTAAAGCATTCTGAAATGTTTTCTTTGCAGTGTGATGATCTCTTTAACAGCAGCTTTTTTGTTGTTTCTTTTTCCACCCAGCAGATTCTGGGGCTGGTCCTGTGATCCGCATAAGCAATGCCAGTTTCTCATGGCAACCCAGTTCGTCAGACACGGAGGAAAAGGCCGCAGCTAACACAGTGGCCACAACTGAAGGTGGTAACGATGAACAGGACAATTTGTCAGACTTATCATCAGATGCAGCTTCCAGCATGGTGCAAGACCTGTTGAATATCACAGTGGATGTGCACAGAGTAGGTTTCACTGTCAGGGATTTAGGGACAGTGTGATTTCTGGCATCGAATTTATGAAATGCAACATTGAATGTTGTGCTTTCTTTCAAAGCGGTTTTAAAAAATACTCAATCTCCCGGCTATGGTCGTATCCCCTGGCTGAAAAGAATGTACTAAGACTTAGGATAACAACATCACCAACAAAAACATCAGCAGCAGAGTGTTCCCATACTTTCCTTCAGTTCTCATGAGTTGTTAAGCAAGAAATAGTTTTACATGCCACAAGACAATGTATATATATATATATAAATCACACTGATAATAATTTGTAGGTTGAATTTTTTCAGTCCTCTTCAGATCTGCTTTCCTCTGTATTGAATTCCTTAGATATTTCCTCAAGATATCTGTAATATTCTGGTTAATATTTTTTTGCAATCAATGTAACGGAATGGTTCGCTCACCTTACTTTGAGCCAGTGTTTCCACTCTTCGGTATTTTTACGTAGATCCGTACTTTCTGCCAGTTCCGTACTTATTCCTCCATCATTATCAACTCCCTCCGTAAAAAATTGCGACAGTGTAGGACTGCTGAAATTCCTTCACAAAAGATCCATACTCGCCTTGGTATAGTCTTGTATAAGTTACGGATATTTACGTTAATTCTCTCAGCAACAAGTTAATGTTATAGAAACCTGCCAGATACCACATTTCCTGCAACCAGTCATTATTTCGCTATAGCTATGCCCCATGCATTCATTACGGGCTGGTCGGCAGTACATTTTTTACCTGCAGATGGATCAAAATCTGGCGAACTTTTTGTGCCAATTTCCTCCTTTCTATCCTTCACTCATTCCTTCTGTCTGTCTTCAGTTTGTTGCCGCGACTGGAAAATCTGCGCATTGATCAAATATATTGACTTGTGATCTTAGACAGAAAATTACTGTCAGAAAGAAACTTTTTTTGCAAATTTGTCTAGATCTAGAGTAATTATCAGAGCGAAGATTCTACGGCATGTGAACGCGATATAAGGGCCGCGATGAAAGAAATATTTGCTAATACTACTAAAATGAAGAATAATTTGAAGTGGTGTTCCGAGGTTGTGACAGGCGACATTCAGACGTGAAAATTGAAGAAAAATTAGGGTATACGCTGGCAACTGTATTGTGAAGGTACATATCTATTCATTATTCCCAGGTTTACCTTCTATCAATGGTGCGACGACAAATTAATTGAATTATAGTAGCAAAGAAAGGGGAACCTGCTTTTAAACATTGCCAGCAATGAAAAGATATGATGAAGGTGAAGAAATCAAACAAGACAAAATGTTGGTGAAAAAAATAAATGTCATGGGTTGTAGGCAATCTATTCAAACAGGCTCTCAAATGCCATTTTCAACCCTCTATAAGCACTAAATTTCAATTTCTTCAGAGGCTTCGCCCCCTGATTCCCCTCTGGTACGCTGTCCCTGGACCCTGCTAGGGGCCTGTGCGAACCCTAGACCCCCTGCAGAATTTTCCTTACTTTTCAGCTTCAGCTGGTGGAAGCACTGTTGAGCTTACTGAAGACATATTCTACTTTTCTCTTTTGTCACCATATAATATAATCAAACAATTTCTTTTTACAGGGCCAACTTGTGGGAGTGATAGGTCGTGTTGGTGCAGGAAAGAGCTCTTTTCTAGCATCAGTGCTAGGAGAGTTACGAAGGCTGGAAGGAGAGATTGCTATAGATGATCTGGATGCTGGTTTTGCCTTTGTGAGCCAGGAACCCTGGCTTCAGCAGGCAGCAATAAGAGACAATATCTTGTTTGGTCGTCCTTTTGAAAGTCAACGCTACAACAAGACACTGGAGGCGTGTGCACTCACTGAGGACCTCAAGGTGTTACTCGCTTGAGAATAGTTGTTGTAGATATCTTTGTTGTAGTTGTTGTTGTCATTGTCTTCATTGTAACTGTGTTGTTTAAGTTGCTATTGCGTTTTTGTTGTTGTTGTATGCATTGTTATTGTCGTTGTTGTTAGATTTGATGTCTTGTTCATTGTTGCTGTTATATTCAATATTGTTATTGTTACATTTGATGTCATTGTCACTGTTGTTGTCCTATTCTATGTTGTTGTATTTGATTTTACTGTTTTGGTGTTGTATTCAATATCATTGTCATTTTTCTTGCTCTATTCAACCGTCTTGTTATCTTTGTTGTATTAAATGTTATCACCATTGTCTTTGCATTCAATATCATTTTTATCGTTATTGTATTGATTATTTTGTTATTTTTGGTATTGCAATACTTGACATTGTTGTTATTGATCCAGCAGCTCCTGCGCTTCAACCAAGTGCCATAGAGTAGTATATAAAGGTGTTAAATATCTGTTGAAATTTCCTGATGGAAAAATAGAGATTAGAAATTGGAAATGAACTTTTAAATTATTCTGATGGAGATGGTTAGATTCGAATGACTTTGCCAGTCTTAAGAAGTAGATGCGAAGTAGTGTGTGCAGGGCATATAGAATCTTAAATAACAAATTAACTTTTCAAAGAAACAATTAACTCTTTTTATCCGGGCTACGAGTATATTCGTAATGAGGACCAGTCCGGGCTACGTGTATTCTCGGAACAGCGATACGGTCACGTCAAAGAAGCTAGTTCTGCTTGTAATTACCAAAATACGCAAATACGGCGATGCTAGCTCTGCCTGAATATTTTCATTTTCCAATGAATAGTGGTTTCTTTGTTTTTGATGGGTGTAGAAGCTTGAAAGATGTCTCGAAAACGCACTTTCACGACCGACGAAGTACTTTTTGAAGTGGCGCTGGGTAGTGAGGGGGAATGAAACTAATTTGATGAAAGTGACTCTGAAATAAGTGCCGTAAATTCCTTTGTGGAAGATAAGAAACAGGACTTAAACTCATCTAATAGCGATTCAGATCATGGTGGAGGGGTCAGTACTGGAATTCGTGCTCCTAGATCTAGATCTATAAAATCCAATGGGACGTCGTGGGCGCGGCAATCAGGGTCAAGTTCGAGGGTGGAATACACCTCAAAATCAACATTGTGCTATTGGTGTATTTCCTAACAACATACATTTACAAAAACTACATTCAATTTCTAACATAACTGCCAAATTTCTTTAAAACCTTAGAGTAAAAGTAAGAAATATAGCACTTTGAACTATACGCACTGACTTCCGACGCGTACGGCGCGGCGGCCCCAGGACTGGTACAGAGTCTGTGGGGGTACGGCTAGGATAAAAAGAGTTAAAACCCCTGGAACAAAGATGGTGCATTATGAGGGGGAGTTTCATGGAGAACAGTTTATGTCCCCTTGTAAGTATCAGATGTTAACATCGCTTCTACCGTTCCGCATCATCATCATCATTGCCTTTCTCATTCAGGGTCAAGGTACAGGCCACGAGCAAACACTTTTCACCTTTCCCTATCCTGGGCTAGACTCTTGATGTTATTCCATGTTTTCCCACTTTTCTGTACAACTCTTATTCTGCAGGGTGTTTCAGAAGTAATCGGACTGCACTGCCAAGTGTTTGTTTACAAGAGAGATCGGGCAGCATTGTTCTCAAACAACATATCTGAGTTGTGAAATTTCTTTATTGCTTTCTCTACATCCATTCAGGTCTGCTGATATGTGTGTTCGCCTGGAGAAAGGTCCCAATTATCGGCAAAGCTATATTTGAGCAGCAGGTTGAAAAAGTTTTTTAAAAAGTATTTCATGGTCAAAAATTTAGTTCCATCGGAGAACACACGTTTAACCATTTCTTCATAACATATTGAAAGGATCTAATGATATTTTGAGTCTAAATATTTTTTATTAGAAATTTTTGCAACATGTACTTCACTAAAGGTTAAAGATGATCTAGAAATTGGGTCAAACTTTTTTTTTACACCTTGTGTTACAAAATGTGGCATATCTTTAAAACTGCTCAAGACTATAGAACATTTTGATAAAGAATCAGGGTATTCAGCATGGCATTAACTACAAAAATTAGCCCTAATTTCAATATCCAAAATTTCCGACAAATGGGACCTTTCTCCAGGCACACAAATATGTAGACTGTGAAGCGCATAGAGCTTGCGCTGTTGAGCAGGAATTTGCACTTTGTAAATGTTATTTATCATTATTATTATTATTATTACTTCGTTTGAGGGCGGATGAAAGTGTGGAAATACTACTAAACCAATGTAGATCATGAATCGTAATGCAGTCCAGTGACTGTTGAGACAGTGTAGAATCTCATCTTTACCGAGGTGACTGCTGTAGAATGAACATTTAGTCAAACAATATTGATTTTTCCAGATGATGCCAAGCGGTGACCTGACGGAGGTCGGGGAGAATGGTGTCACCCTGAGTGGAGGTCAGAGGGCAAGGGTCGCCCTGGCCAGAGCCGTGTACCAGGTGTGGTTTTTTTTACTTTTCTTTTCTGAGATCTGAGGGAGGTGTGAGCCTTATTGGATGTTTGTTTGTTAATGAGTCGTTTTTATCTCCAAGATGAAGAAGTGTGTGCCTTAGAACACTGTGCCAGGTTTTTTGCCCAAAAGTTTTTCACACGTTGAAGTTAATTTACCATTGTCTGATGAAGGGGCTAGGCATTTCACTATAGCATACAAAAGATATGAGTTCAGTTTCTGTGTGAGGAGGGTTGGGTTTTTTTCGAGTATCTCAAGCCTGTCTGCTAGGACTTTGTGTCCCTCTCAGCCGAGGTTGGCTCAGACAGACAGTGTTGAAGCAGTCCACCTCCTGAACGGCCTAAATTGTGTTGAAGGGGAGGTAAAAACACCAACAACAACTACCACTACGAAAACACCAACAACAACTAAAAGTACTACTACAATATAGTTGAACTTGAAATAAAGATAAGACAATATTTGATTTTGAGCCCCAGCTTATGAGACCACCAGCAACAGAGACTGCTTTGCATAAAAAAATTACTTTCAATAGGAAAATTGTTTTAAAATTCTGTTGGTACTTTTACGTTTTCACTCCTTCCTTGGCGGTTATAAATGTCTGAGTACTAAGCGACCACCATTGCATTAATGTGCTTTTCTATTTCTCAAATGGGTGGTTTGAGAGCAATCTGTATGTTTATCTCTTTTGTCATCTTTTCAGATTTCTTTCTGTCATAAATTACATCTCGACTCTTTCACACAAGTGAATGGAAAAATTAGTTTCATAGTCTCACCGGGGCGGTGTTGCAGACTGAAGTGTCTTTAGGCCATTCCCAAACGGGGGACCGTAAAGCCACCTCTTGGTGCTCATATGACCTTATGCAGTTGCGAGCACTGTTAAAAAAAACTCTACTAAACTACTTAACCAAAGGGGGGGACTAAAACATGTTCTTATGCTCAGTAGAATTGTAGTTGTAAATGGGCTGATTCATCAATGTCATGCTCATAACTATCCCTGAACTGCAACGGGGAACTGCTGCTTTTTCTTTCCTAATCCTTACTATCGTCATTTTGCCTCTACTTCTTTTGTATGTTTGTCACACTCTTGTGACCCGCTTTTTCAGGGGTGTCTTGATAGTCGAAGCAGATTTTGTGCTGTTAAAGCTAGAGAGGTACGCAGAGTAAGCATGATTCCCTGTGTGGACTTCTCTGTTGACATCCACTCCTTTGTGTTCATATGACCTTATGCTGTTTCGAGCGCTGTAAAAACCCTACTAAAACTAAAACTAAAATAGTCTCACCCAAAGATAGCATAGTGTGCTCATGTAATTTTTCCCCCATTCGTTTGTATCAGGACAAGTCAGTATACCTTCTGGATGACCCACTGTCTGCTGTGGACGCGCATGTGGCACAGCATCTGTACACCCACTGTATCGCGGGCCTGCTGGGCAGCAAGACCCGCGTGCTGTGTACCCATCAACTAAAGTTCCTGGCGCGTGCTGACTGGGTGATTGTCCTTGAAGATGGCAATATCGCCAAGTCAGGTGAGATTACACCTTTCATATTATTATTATTCTTGTCAGCTTGGATGTTGGTGCTTCAGAGGTGTTGTGTTAGAGTAAATGCC